TGCGGGATCACGGGGGCGTTTATCTCGCCCGGGATCAGCCAATATTTGTGGCCACATCAGGAGAAAGAGCCTTTCCTCACTTTCTGCTCCCGTGGAGCCCGGCGCTGCTGCGCTGCCGCTGCGCTCTGCTCTCCTGGCCCTAGCGCCGCTGTCCCGGTTTGACTTCATCTTATCGGACTGTGGAGGAACGCTGTTTGCCGAGAACTCCCCAAGCTGTCACCTCCCGCCACCGGAGATGACAGCCACGGTGGCTTTCCTGCTTCTGAGCCTTCTGAGGACGGCAGCTACCAAGGGAGTGTGGTGCCCGACCTGTGGGCTGGCAGCCCTGGCCCCCACTGCCCCCCGGGCCGTCCTCCTCGCCCCGGCAAAGCTCCAAGCTCCGCTTGCCAGACAGGCCCAACATCACCCAGCCCACGGCCAGGGGGGCCCTGCAGACCGCTCTCCGCAGGATGCATGCGCAGCGCGTGGACGTGGCCGTCTCCCCAGGGACGCCCGGTGACGGCAGCGTCCTACACCCGCGTCCCCATCTGGGTGTGCAGGAGTATGAGATCTTGAGCTTTGCTGAGTCAGGTCTGTACAGACCCCGCATCCCATGGGCGCGGTGGGATGGATCCGGAGGTGGAGGGCATGGAGGGAAGGAAGGTTTTGGCTGGGGGAAAGTGGTGAGAGGTTTCCTCCTCTGCACAAACATTTCAGAAGCTCTGCACAGGGGCATCACGCTCCTGTGAGCAATGCCAGCCCAGTGGGCACGCTGCTGCTGAGAGCACTGGTGATGAGAGGCTGTGTCCAGAACCTCTGCGTCCACGTGCTGAGCTTACCCCAGCCACCCACCCCTTGCCACTACTGAGGTTGGGGCCCCTCTCATTTACGTGTGGGGCAAGGGGGTGGGCGCAGGAACAAAGACAGACTGCTATATCGTGAGAATTTGGTCTCCACTTCTGTTGAACCCTCTCAACTTGTGCTAGAGGTGGAGGGGTCAGATGGCCATGTTTTTCAAGCCATGATTTTAAGACTAGATTGCCTATGAGCCCGCAGCATGTGGACTTAGGTCTCCGGAGCTCCTCTGCTCCCTGCACTCAACTGTGTCTCCACTTCCTACCTAAAGTGGTGGGAGAGAGCTCCCCAAAACATGCTTAGGGGTCCTGACAAGTATCACTGGAAAAACAGGGTCCTGTACCCCTGACTTTTCCCAGACCTTTGGAAAGAAGCCTAATTGCTGCTCCATCCTGCAGAGCATCCTTCTGCACCATCCCTTTGCCCAAGCCAAAGTGCTGCTTGTGGAGGGGTGGGGGGCACACACTCCCCTTGCTCCCTGTGTGTGGGATAAAGGAGGCTCTGGGGATGATGCTCCTCCTCGCTGCATCGTGTTCCCATACATGAGGACAACACGAAGTTGTCTCCTGGAGCATTTGCTGGGAGCGGAGGAGCTGGTGTGAGCCACGGAGCTGAGCCCAGCCTCTTGCTGCTCTGTGCCAAGGTTGTGTCCTCATGGGCAGAGCTGTGCCAAGGAGCCCAGCGCTGCTCTCACGGTCCTCGTTGGCCCTCGCTTTTTGAGGAGGAGAGGCAGCTCTCAGCAGCAGCAAGGGTAGGACACGCTGGAGCAATGGCTTCACCCAAGGAAAGCAGAGGTAATCCTGGAGGTGCGAATCAGCGCGACTGCCTTGAATCCAAGGCTAGTTTACATAGCCAGATAACTTACTCCAAAATCCTCCAGCAGCTCCACTGACAAGGGGGATCTCAGGCCAGAGGAGGTGGGACCAAACCTGGCTGCTGCTGCATTCAGCACTCGGCCCAGATGCTGCCACTTTAGAGCAGCTTAAGGAGGAGCAGGGAAGCGAAGTCCCCTCAACCCTGCTCCCTGGTTTGGAAATGCCTCACATTTGCTCTGACTCTGGCCAGGGGAGCCCCCCCTTCTCCCTTCTCCTCCTGACTCTGCTCTCGGTGCTGTGCACAGGCTCCTCCACCTCCCGCAGCGCCCGCCTGCATAAGCGGATGGGGAGCACTGAGATCCTGCGAGCCACCCTGCACCTCTTCTGGGCAGCCCCTGGCCCCGGGACACATCCCGTCACCATCAGGCTCCTGCAGCCAGACCCAACGAGGCTGAACGTGACCGTGGCCAGTGAGACACGGCTGGAGGTGCACAGACCCGGCTGGGCCACGCTGGACGTGGGTCGAGCCATCCAGAGCCTCTTTGGCCAAGGGAGCCAGAGTCTCACTGTGGAGCTGGAGGTGGCAGAGGACTGGGGGGCTCCCCTCCTGGCTGGCCACAACGATTCCCACTGGCCGTTTGTGGCAGCCCAAGCCCGGGTCAGGACACCTCGGCGGGTCCAGCGGCGCGGCATTGATTGCAGCGGGGACTCTCGGATGTGCTGCCGCAAGGAGTTCTTCGTGGAGATCGGCTGGGAGGACTGGATCATCCAGCCAGAGGGCTACCACATGAACTACTGTGCAGGGCTCTGCCCCCTGCATGTGGCCGGCATCCCCGGCCTGGCCGCGTCCTTCCACACAGCCGTGCTCAACCTCATCAAAGCCAACAACGCAGACGCAGCCACGGACTCCTGCTGCGTCCCCACGCAGCGTCACCCCCTCTCTTTGCCGGCTGGGAGGACTGGATCATCCAGCCAGAGGGCTACCACATGAACTACTGTGCAGGGCTCTGCCCCCTGCATGTGGCCGGCATCCCCGGCCTGGCCGCGTCCTTCCACACAGCCGTGCTCAACCTCATCAAAGCCAACAACGCAGACGCAGCCACGGACTCCTGCTGCGTCCCCACGCAGCGTCACCCCCTCTCTTTGCTCTACTACGACCGGGACAGCAACATTGTCAAGACCGACATCCCTGACATGATTGTGGATGCCTGCGGTTGTACCTGAGCGCTGGCTGAGGAGGAGGGAGGGCAGGACCTGTGCTGTGCAGGGCTCTCCTCCTCCTGGCCCCTCTCTGGCAGAGTGAGACCTGGTGAGGTGCTGAGAGATGAGAACCATGCCAGGGTGTTTTCTCCTCCTGAAGTTGAAGCATCAAAGGGTGATGCTGAATCTGCAGGTCCTCTCCTCCCTCACTTCCCCCTTCAGATCTGCCCATGGATTCCTCTCTGCCCATGAGCCACGGCCTCTGAGACCATCTCCTGATGGACACCAGCCCCTTCTCCCTGCAGGACTCTGCAGAGCACAACCCCCTGCTGCTGGTCCCAGTCCTCAGTGCTGCAGCACCAACATGAGCTCTCCAGGTCCCAGCAGCAGCCACCCCAGGCTGCTGAGGAAGAAGAAAGCTGAAAAGATGCTGGGGAATGGCAAGGCCAGAGTGGAGAGAGCCACATCCACAGTGTCCCACTCCTCAGCTGGACATGAGGGGAGTAAAGGGGGGTGAGGAAGGGGAAATTTGTCCCAGTGTGAGGGAAGCGTCTCCCTCTCTAAGCATCCCATCTCCCTGATATTCAATAAAGGATTCCCAGCTGCAGTGTGTGCACAGGTACGTCTACATCGATGTGTGCCCTGCTGTTAGCCTGCACACCTTCCACCTCTCCCCTGGGTACATGGGGTGAATGTGCCCCAGCACAGACAGCCCAACAATGGCACAGAACTGACTCCCTCCACCATGCACAGTCCTCTCCTAAACAACTTGGTTATTAAACACAGGCAGTAGGGTTGGGCATCATCCCCAGGACACGGTGTGCCCAAACACCTCAATGCTGCTGCCCCCATGGCTCTGCTGCTTTTCCCAGGGGGATGCAGAGCCCCAGATCCCAGGGCATGGTATGGGAGCTCCTGGACAGAGGGATTCCCACTGGGAAAGACACCACTCCTCATTTGGGCCACATTTTCCATTCCACCAAAGCCACATGTATTGGTCATTCTTCTCCCACATCAGGATGAAACCGAGCAACTTTTTACAGTGGCAAGACCACCAAAGCCACAGTGCCCAGGTCACCCACCCTCACCTAAAACCCCGCACCAGTTCCCTCACTGGGGAGCAACTTTCTAGCACATCTCTGGCCCACGGCCAGGAGCAGCTGCCCCCTTTGCTGCCCCTCGCCAGCCGGGCTGGCAGCAAAGTGGGGCATGGCCATGCCGTGAGAGCTGGGGACAAAGGGCGGCTCTGACACATCGGCCACATTACTTAACCCCATGTTAGGGTTTCTCCACCGCTTCCCACGTGTCCCCCATGTGCGAGGGCTGAGAAAGCAGGGAGAGGGTGCTGGGGGTGGGAAAGGGAGGTTCACGAGGGGAGCTCCTGGCTCAAGCCAAAGGTCAGGGTGCACATTACCCTGCAGAGCCTGTGGCACCTTGAGCGAGAATGGGACAACCACTGGCCAAGGTGGTGTTTGCCCACGTAGCGAGTGTTGCTGCTCCCATTGAACCCTGCTGCAGTGCAGACCCACATCTCCTCATCAGGAAGCAGCAGCCACGGTGCTGAGATTTGGGCTTCCAGGCCTTGGTACCTGCAGGGCTCGGACCTGAAGGGTTTCCGCTGACCCAGCTGCTGCACTGGCAGGGTGGAAGACTTGGGGATCAATACTGTCTGGGACCCAAGGCCACTTGCGCAAACCCAAAGAGGGTTTGGTGTTTGTTTTCTGGTTTTTCCCCATCTTTTTCCAACATCTCTTTTAGCTGTCTGTATTTATTGAACAAACAGCTTTCCTGGAGCCGGTGCTGAGCTCTCCAGGGTGCAGCAGGCATGGGCAGAAAGGGGCTGAGTGAAGGGGCAGAGGAGCTGTTGGCTGGGCTCTGTGGCCCTACAGATGCCTCAGCATCTCCTGCTCCAGACCTCCCTGGACCTGTGAGTTGTCACCAGGTTACTTTCTGTCACGTGGGCTGTGGTACAGCCAGCCCAAGCCCCACAGGGCAGTGGCATCCCTATGGACATGAAGGTCCTGCCAATTTGGGGTGTGTGGGTTAGCAGCAGCTCATCCAAGAGAGGTCCCAGGCTTTGAGACCTCTCCCTGTCCCTGACAGCTTGAGATTAGGGCAGAATGCGTTGTCCTGAGGGCTTGCAAACCACCAAGGCTCAGGAGTCTCGTGGTGGCACTCCCAAATTGGGGATACTGCAGGGTGAGAAGGGTGCAGTCAAGGCAGGAGCATCCCTGGAGCCAGGCACAGCCCCAGCCCTGCCTGTCACGGGGCTGGCAGAGGGCAGGGGTCCCCAGCACACACAAGGAGCTGCTCAGCCCAGGCAGGAGCTGTGTGTTCATAGCCCTGACAAAGCTGCACATGGAAAAGGGACTCTCTGAGCTTCACCACAGCCCTGGCTTATTTTGCAGGTCTTCTCCCTCGTCTGCAAAAATAACCTTGGTGGAAGCGTGAGGGCAGCGCACCGAGTCGGGCTCTTCAGGGAGATCTGAAAGGCTGAGAGCAGCCGGGTGAAGCTTCCCTTCGGGCATCACCGGTGGAGAAAGGAGACGAGGGCGCTGTCCACGTTGTGGCGTCCTGTCTCCCTCTGCTGTGACACTGGCCGAGGCCCCATGTTCGCTCAGGGGACTTTGGAGGGGGTGTCACAGGCAGGCATTGCCACACTGGTCCCGCTGGGACCAGTAAGCCTGGAGGGGAGCCCGCCGCGCAGCCCCCTCGGCCAGGCCCAGCACCGGAGGTGCCATGCAGATGGCACTGACCCAGGGCTGTGCCCTTGGGCTGTGCCAGGTCCCACAGTGGGGAACGGGGGTGGGGGGAGCCGGGGTACGT